CCCCGGCAGCCTCGACCTGCTGGGCTCCGGCGATCCTTCCGCCTCAGCCTTCCAAGTAGCTGGAACTACAGGTGTGCGCTACCATGCCCAGCTAATTTTTTGATTTATTGTAGAGATGATGTCTCGCCAAGTTGCCCAGGCGGGTCTTGAACCCGCGGGCTCAGGCAATCCACTCACCTCAGCCTCCCAAAGGTGCGGGATTACAGGCTGAGCCACTGAGCCCGGCTTCAAAAATGGTTTTTAAAGGTATACTCAAAAAACCCAAATCTATATCAGCAACTATTAAAAATACTAACTATTAGTAGTTATTATTAAGAATTCTTAACAAGGAAGTTTTGAAGTATGTATGAGATTTTAAAAATTATATACAATTTGAAAAACAAACTTTAAATTTTAAATAAAAAAGATTAGTGGCCAAATTAAAAAAAAATTTGAGCATCAGATTTAATATCTTATTTTTTTCAGGCTACTCAGAAATATATTCTGTGAATAATAAGAAGTATTTCATAAATATATATGTATAAATATAAATATATATCTACAGGATCTGTGATACTGGAGAAAACATTTTAAAGAAAAAAAATTGCACTTTTGGATGACTAGGATGTTGTCAAATTGACCCTTCAAGAGAAATAAAATGATCAATCCAGGTGCTTTTGGCACAAGGTTTTAGGTGAACGTTAACACAATCTTAAAAACACAATGCTTTTACATTTTATTCACTGGAATATGAAGAACCAAAAAGAATTTAGAATTCTGACCAAAAATCCCAGATAACTGCTTAATTAAATACAAAAAATATTGTTTTATAAAGACCTTGAACCTGCCTTGACATCTGGAACATGTAAAATTTTATCAGCAACAGTTTTGTCCAACCCTTTCGGCAGAAATCCCAGCTTACACACAAATGTCGTCGCCATCCCTTACACATGTATGACTTGAATCACACCCCAGTATATAAAGACAAAAAATAAATGTATAATAAAAAGATTGGATAGATCAGAAGAGGCTTTTTGGTCTTGAATTCTTCACCCACTAGCAATGAAGCAGCACTGTAGGCAGCCCAAAACACGCCAAACAGCTTTAAAAAAAAGACAAAAGGCAGCATATTAGCAAGTAAGTATATTTTTTGGATATTATAGAGTAAGTATAACATTTGCAAAATTTTTAAATCAGCCACCAAATGTAACAAATAGTAAAACTTTTTAAAAATGTTAAAAACTTATTAAGAATGATCATCATTCTGCTCCTTGACTTCTGTAAATGTGGTCTTTTCTTATCAAACCTCGTAATAATGAAAATAAGAACCTAATAAATGAGAATCACTTGAGGTGCCTATTAAAAAGAGATGTGGGAAATTCATTCTAGTTCTGCTTAATTTAAATTTCTGAGGAAAACAGTTAGTTATCAGTCTTTTTTTTCCTTTCTTTCCCTGAGTCAGGGTCTTACTCTGTCACCCAAGCTGGAGTGCAGTGGCACTATCATGGCTCACTGTAGCCTTGACCTCCTGAGTTCAGGTGATCCTTCAACTTCAGTTCTCAAGTAGCCGAAACTGCAGGTACACACCACCACACCCAGCTAACTTTTAAATTTTTTGTAGAGATGAGGTTTCATCATGTTGCCTAAGGTGAACTCAAATTCCTGGGCTCATGCAATCCTCCTGCCTTGGCCTCCCAAAGTGCTGCAATTACAGATATGAGCCTCTGTGCCCCTGGCCTACTTATAGTGTTCCCGGTGATTACAATCAGGCAGCCTTTGAAAAAACTATTATTGGGCCAAATTGCAAAGAGAAGACTAACTGAGCCCTGCAAAGGAGACAATTTTCCTTTTGTCTTCTAAAAAACAGGAAAACAGATTAAGTGAAAATTTTACACATGTTTAGTAGGTATCAAAGTGTTTTCCTAGGAATATGTGGAAGTACAGGGTTGAATAAAAAGGAGAAAAAGAGATCACATTTTGGTCAAGAGTTCAATTAAATAAAATATACAAGGCCAGGCACGGTGGCTCAAGCCTATTATCCCAGCACTTTGGGAGGCCGAGGCGAGAGGAGTGCCTGAGCCCGTGGATTCAATACCAGCCTGGGCAACATGGTGAGACCTCATCTCTACAATAAAATAAAAAAAAATAAGTCAGGCATGGTAGCATGTGCCTGTAGTTCCGGCTACTTGGAAGGCTGAGGCAGAAGGATGGCCCAGAGCCCAGCAGGTCGACACTGGGGTGGCCGTGAGCGCGACACTGTACTCTAGCCTGGGCAACGGAGAGAGACTCCAGTTCAAACACACACACACACACACACACACACACACACACTGTGGTTTTCTGATTATATACATATAGATTTCAAACCATTTCCACTGAAAACTACATAGTACTTACTGACGTAATCACAAAGGCATTTTACAGCATAAAATTAAGAAAGAACTTTAAGAGAAATGAGGGAAAACTCTAATAGAAACAAACAGCACAGAGAAGGGTTTCTCAGCCTTGCAATTTTCTGGCATTCTAGGCTGGCTGATTCATTGTTGTGGGGCTGTCCTGTTCACTGTAAGATGTTAGGCAGCACCCCTGCCCTCTACATATTAGTAACACTGCCCCCCCAAAAATGCCTTCAGATATTGTCGACATCCCGGCAAAATCGACCTCAGCTGAGAACCACTGGTACAGAAGTTTAAAAAAAATGTAGACTCAGCGTGGTGACTCAGCCTGTAATCCCAGGACTTTGGGAGGACGAAGTAAGAGGATTGCCTGAGCCCACAGGCTCGAGAACACCCTGGGCAACTTGTTGAGACCTTATCTCTACAATATATCAAAAAATTAGCCAGGACTGGTAGCGCACGCCAGTAGTTCTAGCTACTTGGAAGGCTGAGGTAGAAGGATTGCCTGAGCTCGGCATATTGAGGCTGTGGTGGCCGTGAGCCACTCCAGTCTAGACGACAGAGTGAGACTCCCACTCAAAAAAAAAATTATGATCGATAGAGTCAATGGCACACTGTTAGTTGAAAGAATGAGGAAGGCCAGGCTTGGTGGCTCAGCCTGTAATCCCAGTACTTTGGAAGGCCAAGGCAAGTGGACCCAGGGGGTGTTGAGTCCCTGGGTTCAAGACCAACCCAGGCAACTTGGCCAGACCTCATCTTGACAATAAATCAAAAATTAGCTGCGTGTGGTAGTGCACGCCTGTAGTTCTGGCTACTTGGAAGGTTGAGGCAGAAGAATCACCTGAGCCCAGAGGGTTGACGCTGGGGTCGCTGTGAGTGTGCCACTGCACTGCAGCCAGGGCAATGGAATGAGAATCCAACTCAAAAAAAAAAACCCCAAAAAACAAGTACTTTATGTAGAGGCTACATAACAGCAGTTCTAAAAGTGGTGGTTTTAAAATGTTCTGTTTTTCATAAAGAAAAAAATTACAATCACTATATAATATACCTACATATGCCAAATCAGCCATTTATTTTCCAAATTTTTTCAACATTAATGCCAAATTTTAAGTTATATTACTATTTACTATTGATACCTGATATTATCAGTGAATATTTAAAATATGTACATGTTAATTTAACATAAATATCATGAACAAGTCTTGATTTTTGCATTGTAGAAAATATAATTTATCAGAACCATGTCTATCATATTTGATAGAATCTAACTATCCAATTAGAATTAACAGTCATTAAATAAATGTCCAGTGGAATTTTAAATATCCCCATTTAAGTCAGATGAAGTCATAAATATAGAGAAGAAAAACTCAACATTAAAAATTTCTGAGTGTAACATCCTGAAACCTGATTTGTCTGCCCCCGCCAACGCCACAGACACACTTTATAATTTTCATTGTTAAAAAGGAAAACCATGAAATACAACTGGGAAAATCAGTTAGGAAGGTCACTATTCTGAAATACTGCCAACTATTTCATAAACAGTTTTAGATTACAGTATTTTTAGTTGGAGGACTAGTATATTTTTGCTGTTGCAAATCGTAAACTACTTTATATAATACAAACTATTTAACTTACTTTTATAAGTGTAGACACCACTTCAAAGGATCCAACCACCAAAAGTATAGGGGCTATTACAATGAGAGGAAGTAATGAATATCCTATGACTCCAAGAACTTGGCCATATGCAACCTGTAAATTTTGCAAATTGTAAATATCATAAAAATCAAGATACGCATTTTAATCACTATTGAACATCAGATATTCTTTGCTGCATTTACATGAATGTAGAGACCACACAGAAATCATGAAGTATCACACCCATTCTATTTGAAATCCTCTCACAGCCTCCCAAGTGGCTGGACAGTCTCACCAACCACCAAGCTTCAAAGATCTTCAATCTGCTGCTGGACCCAAATCCACATTTCCAGTATTCATCTTTCTTGAGCTTCAGACTCACATATCTAACTGACTTCAGTTATTGCTGCTACCAGACATTTTGCCTCCACTTATCTTAAATTGCAGAAGGATTATTTGAAAGGACAAAACCACTCTATTCGAATGAAAAATTCAAGGTCTAGAGAAGCTGGATGTGACAGATGCAGACCAGAGGGAAGGAAGGGCAGGCAGGAAAGACTGAGAGAAAAAGATTTTTTTTTGTTTTAGTTTTTTGGGGTTTTTTTTGAGTTGGAGTCTCACTCTGTCACCCAGGCTGGAGTGCAGTGGCACACTCACGGCCACCCCAGCAAGACCTGCTGGGCTCCAGCGATCCTTCCACCTCAGTCTTCCAAGAAGCCAGAACTACAGGTGTGCGCAATCAAGCCCGGCTAATTTTCTTTTTTTAATTGTAGAGATAAGGTCTCGCCAAGTTGCCGGGGCTGGTTTTGAACCCGTGGGTTCAGGCAATCCACTAGCCTCAGCCTCCCAAAGTGCTGGGATTACGGGCTGAGCCACTGAGTCCGGTCAAAAAAGATTTTTTAGTGACCACTATGTGCCGGCTGTGATAGGGCTTCAAACGCTGTGAAGAGCAAAAGAAGTGACAAGCCCATGAAGTGGTGAAGTAGGCATTACTGCTCCTATTAGGAAGAAAGTGACTCTAAGAGAGAAAAAGAAGAGCAAAGACGGTAGGTAACAAGTTCCAAGTAAGGTCCAGGTCTTTCAACTTCTATATCAACAGTCCTAACGTCAAACAAAATGTAGCGGGACCCACCTTCATGCAAATATAATGCTAGGTTTGGACTAGGATATAAGAAATAATATATAAACAAACACAACTTTATGTGTCTACCAGAATTACTTTAAACTTCTGTAGGCAAAGTGAAAAAACTTCAAAGCTACTACTCCAAATTTATTCCACAGTTTTAGGTTCAGATGTTGGATTGAGTATATGTATTTAATATCATTCCTCCCTGCTGAAACTCCACTAAAAAAAAACAAAGAAACTTTTTAAAAAATTATCATTTTCTAGAGATGAGACCTCACTATGTTGCCCAGGCTGGCCTCAAACTCCTGGGCTCAAGTGATCCTCCCACCTCAGTCTCCCACCTCTATGCTCAGCAAAACTCCTTTTTATAAGAGGCATAAACAGGACAACAGCAATGTCACTTTGGAAACTGGAAAGCAGATGAACCAGAGCTAAGTAACAGACTCAGCAGATCTTTCCACCAAGGAAAGGGCTCAGAGTGTCTGCACCTAGCATTCAATATTCATGGAGCAGCCTGACACAAGCCAGTGCCCAGATCCTAATTTCTCTGCCATCCCCTCTCACCAGAGAATAAACTACTAGATTCCCTAGGCTTATAGAAATTCCTAAGGTCGTGTTTAATAGAGCAGTGGTTCTCAAAGTGTGGCCTATGGACCCTGGGGATCCCAGAGACTCTTCCAGATGATCAAAAGGTCATAAGGTTAAAACATTATTTTCCTTTTTCACAGGGTTGATATTGGTACTGACAGAGCATAAGCAATGGTGGGCAAAACTGCTGCCACCTTAGCACTATTCAAGGCGCCACAAACTGTACCAGAAGTTACTACTGTGCTCTATGAACACACACCCACAGAAAAAAGGGAAAAAAGCCAGTTTTCCTTAAGAATTTCTTAAATAGGCCAGACACGCTGGCTCAAGCCTGTAATCCCAGTACTTTGGGAGGTCGACGCTAGAGGACTGCCTGAGCCCGTGGGTTGGAGGCCAGCCCCAGCAACTTGACAAGACCTCGTCTCTACAATAAATAAAAAATTAGCTAGATGTGGTAGTGGGCGCCTGTAGTTCCAGCTACTTGGAAGGCTGAGGTGGAAGGATTGCTGGAGCTCAGCAGATCAATGCTGGGGTAGCCATGAGTGTGCCACTATACTCCAGCCTGGGCAACAGGGTGAGACTCCAACACACACACACAAAAATTCATAAATAAGGCAGTAAAAACAATTTTACTAACTATCAATCTTTGTGTATGTATCTTTTTAATATTCTTTTTTTTTTTTTGAGTTGGAGTCTCACTCTGTCGCCCAAACTGGAGTGCAGTGGC